ACACACACACACACACACACACACACACACACATCTCTTGGCACATCGAATCAATGGGAATTTCAGTGTCACGATGAGTCACTTGAATTTCCTGTTTGTGAGAAATATATTTATCTGGGAAGTCTTTCAGAGTGGGCAGAAGAGCCTTCTAAATTAACTTCATGCACTTAAGATTAATCGAATATATGAACACTTGCTTTAAGTCCCTAGTTGCAGGCTGTTTTGGCCTATCCTGTGCTTAATTTGTCTCTAACTTGGTGAGAACTTCATGGTTGATATGGAAATTTGAGAATCCAGCAGTCAACGCAGGCTGCCACAAATAGAGGTTTTTTCTTTGGATAAGGTGGGACACCCCCAACTAAAATGCCTTTGTATAGAAAATGGTAAGAACACCACAACAAATGCCTAGACTGGCATGTCTCTTCCCTTCTCCTCCTTGGCCACAATCCTTTAATTTCTTTCCCACTATCCTGTCTCCCCTCTAGTCATGTTGTCCTCTACTCAGTCAGACTCTAATTATTAACTACTACCTTCTGGATATTCTCCATCTCTGAGCCTCGTTGACCTCTCAGTCCATTGACTGTTTTGACTGTTTCTATGGTAATGACTTGTTAGAGTGTGGGGGTGTCAGATTAATCTGTTATTGGTCCCATCCCATGGGATGGAGAAATGAGCACTGCATGTTCCAGGGATAGCCTGTTCAGAGGTTCCAGAATAATCCGTGGGAAAGATTTTAATGTTGTGTGCAGTCCTCGCTGAAATGAACAGACGTGCTAGCTTTCTCCTCATTCAACCTCTGGATATTGAGTATTATGTGGGCTTCCAGCCAAAACCACACGTGGGCAGGAAGGAGCGCACTGCAGTCCGCAGTGTTTTTGTTGTGACAAAGGAGGCTTTCTGGTAATATTACACATTGTGTGCGTAAGATCTTAATTTAATGTGTGGTTTACTAGATGACTGTTGTTATGGGAGTGGCATCCTCAAAGTCTAATCCTTTTAGTTGTGCAGTGGAAATGCTTTGATCTTTTCAGGCGCTTAACATAAACTTTAAGACAGGAGGCATATACTGTACTGTATTAACCCCTAATAAAATATGTTTGGAAAAAAAAATAACCATACTACAGTTGAATGCAAAAGTTTGCATCCCCTTGTTTTAAAATGACAAAAGGAGTAAAACAAAAAAGAATTTTCATCGACACATTATTTGATGCACGGTCAGTTTTTACAAATGTTCCTTCAACATCAACAGTCACAAAAATGGTGAAAGAGTATACAGTGCTGCTTGAAAGTTTGTGAACCCTCCAAGCATGGTCATTGTTTTCTAAAAATAAATTAACATTTATTTATTTATGGAGTTGTACAGGTCCGAAGGCAGAACAGCAAGCCCAGACCTTCACATTTCCACCACCATGCTTCACTGTTGGAAGGAGGTTCTTTTCTTGATATGCAGTGTTGACTTTTCTCCAAACATGGCGCCTGTGATTGTGGCCAAATCATGGCATAGTTTAAATGGGCAACTTTAGCTCTTTCTTGAGAGCAGTGGCTTCATCCTAGCAACTCTCCCATGAATGACAAGTCTATTTATTTTTCGCCTGATTATAGACGCATGTACATTTATCCCAGATGCTGCCAGAGAGGTCTGCAACTTTCTGGAGATGATGTTTGGGTTGACCTTTAGCTGAATTATTATTTTTTTGGTGCTTCTTGGTGAAGGTTTTGATGGCAGTCCACTTCTGGGCAGAGTTGTGGTGACGTTGAGTGTGACGCTGAGTGTGACGCTGGATGCCCTCCATTTGTAAATGATTTGTCTTACAGTGGATGGATGGAGCTGGAACCTGAAGTCTTGTAGCTTTCCCCGGACTGATTGGCTGTCACCACCTTCTTCCTGATGTCCTCAGATATCTCCTTTCCTCTCGGCGTTGTTGATCTGTGTGCTTTACGCCTTTTGGCACGACAGTGGTTTGGTTTCCTCTCTCTTTTAATCAGTGCTGCTCCAAATCTTTCCTAACAATGTCTCATTTGATTGGTCTGATTAATTGATTACTTGAGCACCCACATGTGTTTCACCTGAGTCTATTACTGCAATTACTGACCTTTATGATATCTGATTAACTTTACTTAACTTCACTTACTTTTGCACATACTCTGATTCCATGTTGCACGAAGTCTGCTGGCTACTTACACAGTTCCCTCAAAACAGGTACATGGATTTGATGAGCATAAGCCCTCCCTTTGCCTTTATAACCTCCTCCAACCTATTTTGGTAACCTCTGATGTGCTCTTGTATCTCCTCAGGTGTAATTTTAACCCTTTCTTCCTGGCATATTTGTTCCAAGTGCACCAGATTGCTTGGCTGTCTTCCACATACGGCCTTCTTCAAATCTATCCACGTTTTCTATTATATTCTAGTCTGGAGACTGGGAAGGCCATGGTCAAACTTTCACCTTCCTCTTTTTAAACCATTCCTGAGTTGCTTTTGCTTTGTGGTTTGGGTCATTGTATTGTTTGTAGGATCCACTGCCTCTTTATTTTTAGCTTTTTGACTGATGGTTGGAGGCTTTGCCTTAAAATCCTGTTGATTTTGGCCTGCATTAATTTTTGCTTCCGCTTTATGCATAGCTGCAGTGCCTGATGCAGAGACACACCCCCAAAACATCAGCGAGCCTCCACCACGTTTGACCGTGAGAATGGTGTTCCTCTCCTCATAGAGATTTTTCTCTACCACTCGTACCTGTGTGCATTATGACCAAATAATTCTTTGGTCACATCAGACCACATAACCTTCTTCCAGACTTCATCTGGTTTGTTCACGCTCTCTTTAGCATACTCCAAGCTTTGTATCTAGAAGTGAGCAAAAACCTTCTGCGTATTTTTCTTCCAGATATTTATGGGGCAGCAGGTGGCTGTAATCAGAAGATCGCCGGTTCAAACCCAGCCTCAGCACATCTGTGGGTCCTTGAGCAAGGCCCTTAACCACCAGCTCCCTGGGCGCTGCTAAGGGCGCATTCAAGACACATCGTGCGTCAGAGAAACACAAATGCTATGAATCCTCAAAGAAGACTTCATTACCCATCCAGAAGTACGTTCTGTGGTGTGCATTTATTGGATTACAAATGGTCATCTATACTCTTGTTTTTAGGAGAGTACGAAAGAACTCAACTTGAGAAATATGTTGTTCTTGTCAATGGATGGCCCAAATGTAAATTGGAAATTTGGTGCACTCCTCCATCTAGAGCATGGAGAACAGTTTGATGGAGCAATAGTTGGAAGCTGTGATTTGCAGCCTGGGAGGTGGACAAGGTGCTGGGAGCCTTGCATTTTCTTTTTCATTATGCACCCACCAGAAGGGAGGACTTCAGCAAGGTGACGAAGTGTACAAAATTTCCATTGCTGTTTTGTGGACATATGTGGCTTGAAAATTTGCCTGCAATTGAAAGAGCAATTGAACTTTGGTGAGCTGTCATGATGTATGTGGATGAGGTGAAAAAGAAGAGACTCCCAAACCCAAGATCATCCTTATTTGACACAATGGCAGAAGCCCAACGTGATCCACTCATTCTGGCAAAGTTCAGGGTTTTTTTCGGCTATTGCAACAAATTTCCAGCCATTTTTGGTGAAGTACCAGACGGATGTCCACATGATCCCTTTCCTCTGCAAGGATCTGGAGAATCTGATCAGGGTATGTACATCATCACCCGCCTTCACACTCGGACGTGCCATCATCACCCGCCTTCACACTCGGACGTGCCATCATCACCCGCCTTCACACTCGGACGTGCCATCATCACCCGCCTTCACACTCGGACGTGNCATCATCACCCGCCTTCACACTCGGACGTGCCATCATCACCCGCCTTCACACTCGGACGTGTCATCATCACCCAACACGTGAGTTCCGAGAAAGTGCCGGGCAATGCACACTCTATCCCACGGCTGAGCTCCGGTAAGTGCTGAGATTTCCCCCTTCTTTTATACCAAATTGGGAGTGGTACACATGACCAGGCTCACCCCCCCCCCCCCCCCTCAGACAATGCGCTCTTTGTTCTTTGTTCGTGTCCTAACTCTTTTTGCGAGAAACAAGCTATATAAGTAATCAGTGAAAAACATGTTTCTGCAGTTCGACCTTGGCACAATAATATTATGGGTGAATCATGGATGACATGTTTGAATCTCTGGTTATTTTACCACACAATCAGAAATCCATTCCTCAATCCCCTCATATGTATGTCTGCTAGGTCGGGTTGGGGGTGCTCCACCACACTGTGAGGAATGGAACCAAACAATAACAGCTTCCCCAATCATTACAGTAACAGGAGGACAATGAACATTTTTTTCTAATTCTATGCTACGTGGGCGACGTGGCCAATTACGTGGTCACCTGCGAGTTCGTCTTAATACACACATATAAAGTGTCATTGCTACTAGGCCATCATGCTGACAGTAAATCTTTCAGTTTTGACATATTTTGTTTTTCCAGGATCTTCTGAGACGTTTCATTAAGCGGAATGCAATGGATGTTTCTTTGGTTAAACTTGTGAGGCTTGATGTCAAAGACCAAAAGCTGTGGGTCGATTTCCACCAGGTGGGAGTTGGCCTTGGGGCTACTATAGTCCTAAAGGTAGGGGCAGTAACTGTCAATAACACCAGTTCTTAAAAACAAAACAAAAAAAGGTACTTGGACTGTTAATTGATAATTTATGGAGTTAAAACTATGAACACCAAGTCCAGAGTTGATATGTTTCTTCATGAGCACATGTCCACCTCCTACATGGAGCTCTAGCACTTTGTTCGGAATGGTTAGGGTTAGGGTAAGGGTTAGGGTTAGGGTTGAATGTGGCTCTTCCATCAATAAACAAGTTGAGACATGCAACATGGAGGAAAACCCTGTAATTGCACAGAGACCCATCCGTGATTATGTATGAGTTTGTGGGTCAGTGACCAAAATGCTTCTCACCAAAGATGTGAAATGTGCTTATGTTTGTGTTTCGCCTCATACCAGCGCACAAAATTTTAGCCTACATATATAAATGTAAATAATAATAATAATAATAATACATTCATTTCAGATCCAAGTACCATACATATTTAGGGGGGCTGAGGGGCGGGCATGCATGTTGTCATGGGGGGCCCCCTCCAGAACCACCCCTCAAAACACTCTTAAATGCTGGGGGATCTTGAAAAATGTGTGATGTCAGGCCTTAAAGTGGCCTTCAATCAGACTTTCCTTGAAGGTGCATAAAAATATAGTTCCATAGTACTTTAGATTCATACTGTAGCTTTCTTTGCAGTAAGCAACGGTCGGTAGTTTTTCTTTTTCTTTGCTTATAAGCAGCTTAATGTAAGCGAAAGAACATAAGCCAGTTGGCAAAAGTCCTGTACATCCTCCATGTTCACAACTGGCTTGCTTCCATGAAAACAGGAGAAACATTCTTCAGTCCCATGAAGAATAGCTAATTGGAGCTCACCGATGTAGGCATAACAAAATTTTTACATTTACGTGTGCCTGCGGTAGTGCGTTCACAGAAAGATTAGTTGTCACAGAGTGGTGAAATTTTTGTCTGTTTCTGGGGAAAAAAAAGATCTTTAGGAGAATTTTTGCATTATTAAACAAAAAAGTATTAGTGCAGGCAGGTGCTCAGTCTCAGTGTATGTAGTACGTGTGTTTTGCCGAGTTCTGTTTGTGCTGCCAGGTGTAGATGCCATCCCACTGTTTGCGGCATGAACATCCATCTGCAAAGTTCGGTTTGGCTGCGTGTCAAGCTTTTTTTGAGCATGGGACAATACGGTCAGATGCTGTTTGAGTAGCTTAAATTAACCTAGTGAAATATCCTCATTTCATAGGATGACAGCTGATCAATTGGAATGTGTGCATGTATTAAAATAAACTGTGCAAATTGTATTAAATACTAATAAGACCAGCCTCAGTGGTGCATTTCTGTTGATCGCAAGAGCAGGAGGTAACTGGCTGTGACCTTCTCACAGGAAGCTGCAGAACGGCTGCCTGATGGAGAGATGGATCATGCAGAAGATAGGCGAGAAAAGCCCGTCTAAGAATATCGACACTTCTTCTTTCTGTGGAGAGAGTGAAGCTTGCATGACTCAGACTCGAAAAGGGTACTGTGGCCTTTGTTTTACTTAACTTAGGGTGACCATATAATCCATGTCATCCCGGACACTTTGAGCTAGGACAGGATTTGTAACCTACCATTTCAATTAAAAGGACCTGGATTTCACTTAAGTACCGAGTTCTTGCTGTGTGCTGATTGGTCAGTCTCCTATAATCATGCACGTGTCACTAATGTTAATGTGAAACAGCTGGATGAGTCTTTCAGTCAAAGAAACAAACCTGTCAAAGCACGAGAAGAACTGAACTATTTAACCAAGCACAGGAGCCTTTCGGTTTTAAGGTAGTTTGTAAAACCTGAAGTAGCTCAAGGTGTCCGGGATGACATGGATTATCTGGTCACCCTAACTTAACTCAAATTTCATGGATTACAACCATGGGCTGTGTGGCCAAGTAAGCTGACACAGTTGACCAGTAAAGAAGCCACTGTGTGTCATCAGATGCACCCGGAAATTGACTTATCAGGGTGGCACCACACCACAGTATTTCCACGCATTTTTCTGTTAGAAACTCAGATATGATCTTTTCTCTGAATGCTGACGCCGTGTTGGTGCCCAGTACCATGTTATTTGTAAGTGTCTGAATACCTCGAAAGTGAAATAAATTCTGCTGACAGACTTCAAGCTTGTGAAACATGATTCAAAAGGCAGGACTTTGTTTTCGGAAACCAGCTTGTTCTATGGAAGAGAACCCCCCCCCCCCCGGCCATCCAATCACCCAGGCTTCAAAGGATATGGAGTGAAGCTATTCAGCAAAACTCCCAGAGGTGCGATGGAACAGGGAGAATCAATTGAGCCCAGACATAAACACAGGATGTTTTCCTCTACGCATATTTTAAAAATTCTAATGTTATTCTTGGCATATTTTTACATTTCAATTCTGTCAAGTTTGGTTCCTGGCCATGGTGACCACACAATAGCACATTTTCATCCGGGGTAGATCTTCCCTGCCTGTTTTCTGTGGCTAAACGACCGGTTTAATCTCCACAGTCAAGTTAGTTTTTGTTCTCACTTTTCCAGCTTCATATTGAATCTCGTAAAGGACAGTGAGCGATTTTATACTTTTCAAACTTTTTTGCAAACCTTTTTAAAGACACATTCATCAAAATACATTTTGCACCGTGGTGAACTTTGATGCAAAATAGAAAACACAGGTCACAAAAATTCAGTCATAGTCAGCACACAGTAGTCTTCATTTAAACACGATCACTCAAAACTCACTCAAAACTCTTCACACATGTTTCTAGACATGAAAAGAAACCAAAGAGTGGCTAGAACATAAAATATGTGCCGGATGAGTGTGCAAGTGCCACTGGTGATTTTCACATCAGTGTAGAAATGGATCACACAGGATTCTTGCCGCAACATATTTATGGGGTCTTTAACATATTTATGCGCTTTAAGCATAATTGTATACACACATTTTTGCTAAGCAACAATTTTTTTTACTCTAGTCATTTGGTTTCCAATTTTTCAACTCGAGGTGCAAAAGATCATATTCACAGTTAACATGTTTCTCCTTAGTTTTGGTTGGTATTGTTTTAAAATTTTTGCTGTGATGTATAATGACTTAGTAGTTTTTATGTACTGACTGGCTTGATGTGTAATCTTGTTATGAGCGTGCGGGCGAGCGGGGAAGCAGGCGAGATGAGCCGTGAATATGGGTAGCAAAGGGGTGTATTCGTCGGGACACGAACGGCACGGCAGACAACATCAATGACTAATCTGGGAAGACTAACTCAGACACGGACTAAATACACAGGACAAGCCAAGAGGAACAGGAAACAAGTGATGACAAATGGGAATAAACACGAGGTAACGAGGTGGGCGTGGCACACACGAGGATCGGACGGAGCTGGGCATGACAAATCTGAAATCAATGTTTAGTTTTGAGCAAAAATAAAATAGTTTTGAGTAGATTGATTTTGCAAGACGGGTCAAAGAATTTGTGAATGTAGCTTGAAAACTGGGTTTTGTGTTTCCTGTTTTGAGAAAAGAATGAGTGGTTTCAGGAAATGTATTTTAGCAATTTAGGAAAACTGTAAAAGGACCTGGATTTAACTTAGCTTTCCTCAGGCGCTTAACTACGTTAACCAAATCATTAGTGCATGTTGTTAATTCCAAATACATATAAGCAAAACAACAATCATTCTTGCCCAACAGCAAACACCTTAAATTTCTTACACATCTTTTTTCATTTTTGAAGGACTTCTCGCAAAACTCTAGTCACAGTGATCATCTGGTAACAACAAAATCATATTGGAGTGTCTCATCAAGTCCCTGAATTGGGCCAAACCTGCGATGGTTTAACCACATCCAGCAAATCAAACTCTAAAACTGTAAAAAGGTGAAAACAGTACAAAAGGTCACGGAGTTAAATTGTAAACACAAAATGGAACTAGATCGTATGGAACAATGCCAAAGAGGATGTGGGAGAGGAAGAGGCAGACGAGGACAGTCATGAAATGAGAGCCACGTGCTTAATCATGGACTCTATGCGTGAGACTGGCCTAAGGGTGCAGCCACACATTTCAAGATCATGTGTGGCATCGAATATCCGAATATTCTGGCAGGAAAATCGATATGTACAAAAATATTCACTTGCTGTATTTGCATATGAAGGCTACAGTGCACACAGCAGTCATGTTGATATCTTCAGTAGCAGAGTAAAAATACTGTAAATCCTACATTATGTATTTGCCTTCATGGAACTGAAAGAAGATCTGTACCTGGTGGGCGAGGTAAAATCTTCACAGCAGAGCAGGAAGCAGAGATTGTTCAGATTGTGCAGAGGAACAATACAATTGGATTACGGGAAATACAGTCTGCTGTAATTACAGACCACACAATATTCAACGGCATCCATTCAGTCAGTTTATCAGCTGTTGATAGGATCTTGAAATGTAACCGCTTAAGCATGAAACAAATGTATAGAATGCCATTGGAGAGGAACAGAGACCACATAAAGGAGCTGAGATATCAAGATGTACAAGTAATGAGCCAGAATTGTGCATTCACTATATGATTACTGTAAGTCTATGCAGGACCTGTACCATTTCACATGCTTTCATGTGTTACCCTTTTGGATGGCTGTTGTGATCTTAGAGGATCATGTAACTGGAGTCCAGTGCTGAACCACCTACATTTTTTTTTGTGGATGAAGTTGGCTTCAGTCTGGCCAAGACCAGGAGGCGTGGAAGGAATATCATTGGGCACAGACCAGGACAGGGAGGTGCACATATAACTATGTGTGCTGCTATATCAGAAAATGGTCCTGTATCATACATCCCATACAGTTAGGCCATATAATGCTGCAAGACTGTATTTCTGGATGAGCTTCACAGATTACTGCTGATGTCTGAAGGGAGAGAGCTTGCTAGGGTCCCTGTCCAACATTATGTAGTGATATGGAACAATGTTCCATGCCGTCACACAGCCATAGTGAGGGACTGGATTAGGGCTCATCCAAATACGCCAATAGAATTTCTACCTCCATATTCCCCATTCCACAATCCAATTGGGGAATTCCTTTGGCCTGGCGACAGAAAGTGTATGATCACCATCTGTATGAGGAAATGTCACTTTTACATGCCATGATGGAGGCACGTAGGGCAATCTGAGCATCAGACTGCCAGGGCTGGATCAGACATGCTCAGAGATTTTTCCCCCACTGCATTGCCGGGGAGATATACTTTGTGATGTCAATGAACAGTAAAGTGAACCCAACAGTGAACAGTGAACATGGCCCAGAGAGCTCAGGAATCAGGCAGATTAACGCAAATTACATGCTTTTTTTTGTTTTGTTTGTTTTTTACATTACAGTATTTTTGGTTTTTCAATATTTGTATTTGCATGCACACAGTAGTATTTCACTGTACTGTATAAGGCCAATAAAACTACTGGACCTACAGTGAAGATGTGTTTTCTCATTCTTGTGTCACTTTACTGGTTCCTCTGTGTGTACAGATTTTACTGCAGTTATTGAGTCTTTTGCCTGAGAATGTTCCCCCGATTGCTTGTACAGTATGTGTTTACTGTTGACTGAGGTGTGTTACTGTTTTGAGTGAGTTATAGAATTTCATAGTATGTATTTATTGTTTTGATTCAGCTAGGGAGTTTTGCAGAGAGGATTGGATTTTGCCAGATTTTTTAGTGTTACGAAGGCTGTATTGGCTGGTTAAAGAAAATGTCGTTATTGTTTTGATGAATGTAGCTAAGTGCCGGGTGCTGGTTGGTCAGTCTCCTAAAATCATGCTAATAATCACCAATGTTAATGTGAAACAGCTGCTTGAGTCTTTCAATCAAGGAAACAAACCAGTCAATGCACAAGAAGAACTGAACTAATTAGCCGAGCACAGGAGCCTTTCAGTTTTAAAGTAGTTTGTAAAACCCAAAGTAGCTCAAAGATTCCTCCCTGACATGGATTATCTGGTCACCCCAATAATAACATGTATTATGGTATATACGTAGTATATTTTCTGTATACTTGTGTCGAGTGTCTGTTAAAGGTAGGCTCTGTGTTGGAGCCCCTGTGATCATATCGCTGCTGTGACATCAAAACGATGTCACGGAGGACTGAAGGCGGCCCTGTCCTGCAGGGGGAGCCGTCGTCTTCCTGCCCCAAGCCGGGGCTGCCATGCTGCGGCTCCTCCGGCCTCCTCGTAGACCCTGATTTCCTGTCAGGTGGTAGCAGACGTGACCTTTAGCATTCGGTGTTCCCCTCCGCCCTCCGCCCCCTGCCGAGCCAGCAGTACTGACCTTAAAGACTTAAAGGAAGGTGTGTGGTTTTTCTTTGTATTAATCGCACTATATGTTTTTCAAAAACTCAACTATTTTTTCCATCTTAAAATTAGACAAGAGTAAAAGTTCCCTCTGTGAGTGTATGTGTGTGTGTGGGGGGATCATGTATAAATTACAAATGTCCCCACAATGTAATAAAAACCTGTTATTTTGACATTATGGGGACCATTTTTTTCAGTCCCCACAAGGGGAAACTCAATTTTGTAAAAATCTGTGACTGTAATTGAAAAACTAAAATTGTTTGGTTACTTATGGTTAAGGTTAGTGCTGGGTAGGGGTTACGGCTGTCATTGTTGGGATTAGGGTTTTGCCCATACAAATGAATGGACAGTCCCCACAAAGATATGGATACAAA